GCACTAAATGATGCAGATTCAGAACATGGAGGGTAAATTATATTGTAGAAACATTTTGGATTTGTACGCTTGAGTACTCTGTTGAATATATCTTTGAATTCTAGTGTAAAGAATGAAAGTCTTCAGCCCCATTTCCTTCCCATCTCTGATAACCCGTCTTTCCTGTCAATGTTAACATGACTTTGTGTTGATGACAGGTTGCCCGTGCTGGTCGATTTGGTACAAAGGGTCTGGCCATCACCTTTGTGTCAGATGAGAAAGATGCTAAAGTATTAAATGAGGTACAAGACAGATTTGAAGTGAATGTAGGAGAACTACCAGAGGAAATTGATATTACATCGTATAGTAAGTATTCCTAACAATTATTCTATAGGAAAGTGTGATACCCATGAAATAGATTGGTTGTATGGAGATACTGATTTTATCTACAAGTGAATTACTACATGGTTGCATGGAGATACTGATTTTATCTACAAGTGTTTCCATTTATATCTAAAACCAAGGGAAGCAAACGATTGAGAAGATAAAATTTGTATCTGCAAGTGCCCATGTAATGTTCTATAATATATAAACTTAAATTTATATATATGATATCAAAGAGGCAAGATTTTGCTGTAACTCCGAGTTTCGTGCTACGCACTCATCAGACAGTATTTAAGATTTTGCTGTAACTCCGAGTTTCGTGCTACGCACTCATCAGACAGTATTTAAATACTGTTAGCTCTACACTTTTTGTGTATTGAGCACTCTTTGATGGGATCAGCTACTTCCTCATACGATTAAACTTAAATTTATATTTATAAGGCAAGAAATAGGACAATTTTGAGAGTATCCATGGTAACATGTTATTTTTGCATTTCAAAGATATCATTTTTTCATGATAGAGATTTCCTGTTCCCCTGTATAATAAGCTGTTTTCTTTTGTCTAATTAACGTTATTGATACAGTAATCATTAACGTTATTTAAGTTATATTATTATTATTTTATTATTATTTCTGGTATAGACAAGTTAATAGTACTGGATTGTATTGTGAAATGGTTTTATAAAGTCTAATGTTTATTTTCTAGTTGAACAAGCACGTTAAGAAGAATTCACCATTTCAACTAATGCAAGGACGACTTACACATTTTTGTAAAAAGACGCTGTTTAACTTTTTGATTTTTTATTAGATTTTAAGAATGTGTGATATTTGTTCATAAAGCTCGTAACTGTAACTAGAGACATAGATCTCTTAGTGTTTCTTGTTAATGCTTTTTTTTTTCGAACTGTAATCTGACAGCAGTATAATAAAGTTTTGTTTATGTATCTGATTGTGAATCATTCCTTAGGATGTTGTATCCTATCCCTAGTATCAGTCTCTAGCTCATGGGTCCTCACGGGTCCTCATGGGTCTCGGTAGAGATTCTGTGATTATAAAACCAGGTGGATCTGCAGCTGATAAACTGATGTGATTGGCTATATTTTAATTTGTTAAAGCTGTTTTTTTAAGTCTTAATTTTAAGTGCCTGAATTTTAAAATATTTATTCRTGCGTGATTCTGAGACGATACATGAAAATGTTAGGAATTTCTATTGGCAACCAAATTGAATGGCCCTGTCACAAGATGTTTTATTCTGCAGAACCAAAGCCAGGCCTAGAGAGAAAATTGCTGTGCAAGTAATAACGTTACAGAAATGAAAGAAATTTATAGTGCTTAGAATAAGGAATAAATTCGGAAAAAATAAATTTCCGACCTCGCTAGGATTCAAACCCACCTTCGGATTTGTACTCGCGATGCTCTACCAGCTGAGCTACAAGGCCAGACTGGGAGCAGGCTGGGTGAAATAGATGTTAGGTTGCGGTAATAGAATAATGTAAAGATATGAATATGAGGACCGCATGGCACTATGATAGAACAGATATAGAAATAAAAGAAATTTATAGTGCTTAGAAGGAGGCAATTCCGGCAGAAAGACCCTAAGGAATAAATTCGGAAAAAATAATTTCCGACCTCGCTGGGACTCGAACCAACGACTTTCGGATTTGTACTATCGATGCTGGTAGAGAACTATAAATTTCTTTGATTTCTATATCTGTTGTATCATAGTGCCATGCGGTCCTCATTAATAACGTTACGCTTTGATGATAACAATGAATGTGCCCCCGACTACCGGGGGAAATGTCCCATTTTAACACCACTCAAAGCAAACGTTAAATTCCC